GCTGTGGCCGATGTTGCGCTGCGTTGTGTGTTGTGATCAGACCGAGCATTCAAACAACGGTGGTGGTGGGGTAGTGGGGTGGTGGTGGTTCACTGGTGGTGCCGATGTACCTCAGGGTTGAAAGGGTCGGCGATCACCAACGTGTTGCACGACTCGGTGAGGTAGAAGTAGCACCTGACGATCATGTGGAACACAACGCGGGTGAGTTGGGTTCGAACCAAAAGCGAGTGTGGAGTGTCACAGGTGAGACGCACCCGCCATTGTGCAGGGAGATGCCCATCTTGTCAAAGTCGAACTGAAGACCAAAGAAGCGAAGGAAGCCCAGGAGCGCAGCCCCCAGGTTCTCCTCCTCCTTGAGGCCGGGCGCCGAGGCCGATGACGATGCCGGCGGCGGCGACCCCCGACCACCCGTTTCCCTCCGCCTGGCGTACGCACGCGTGTTAGTTGGTTGGGTCGCCCCCCCCCCAACAAACCCCTCTTTTTCGCTATTCGAACCACCTCCTCCCAATCGTACCTTTCCTGCTCTACGCTCACCGTCGGCACCTTGTTGATTCGCAGGAACGCCACAATCATCAGCACCAGACAGTACGACGAAAGCCCTGCAGCCGCGCCAAGCACCAACACAACATATTTTACATGAACAGCGCGCGTGAGTTCCTTTTTACGTCGGTTCGGTTGGTGTGTGTGTGTGGTGTGTGTGTGTGTGGCGGGGGCTGAAAGGCACGGCACCTCCGGTGTAGGTGTTGTTGAGTCCTCGTTCGCTGAGGAACTGCTTGAGCACCAGCGCCAGCGGCGTGAGCGCCGGGAGGGAACGGATGTAACTCCGCACCAGGTGCGACGCAGCTGCGCCAAGCGCGGGGGAGGGGAGAGAACGTTAGTGACGTGACCACAAGCAACTGACGACTACAGCGTGCCAGGCGCGGCGGGGGCATACCGATGCCACTGTGCTCGAACGTGCTGGCATTGGACCGGAGCAGGGAGGTGGGATTGAAGGGCAGGTCGGCCAGGCTCTCCGCGGTCGACGCGTGAAGCGGAGACGACGTCGAGGTGGAGTTGGAGAAGCTGAAGGTCACATCCATCAAAATTGTGTGGCCATCGGCGACGGTCATCAGCTTGATCACAGGGACCTGTAAAGTAACAACCTCTGTTAGTTTAGCCCACTTTGTCGCGCAAACGATGCAGTGTAGGGTCGTAACAGGCGCGCGCGTGTACCTTGGCCGTGTCGATGAACTGGAGCGAATGCACCCAATCATGCTTGCGCAGCTCCTCGACCAAAATCTGCATGTGCGTCCAGTCTCGTCGAAGCAGGTTGTCATTGGAGCCCGCGCTGCGTACAACACATGTGCGACGCACGAATAAATTAAGTTATCAGGACAGCCAAAAGCCATGGTGGCAGGAATAGGGGTAGCAGTAGTGGTGGTACTTGTTGGTTTCCACGGACTTGTAGCCGCAGAGCAGCGTGCTGGCCGGGGAGAGCAGCACGACGAGGTCCAGGTCGGACGAGGGTATGCAGAGGGACGTGGCGTAGGAGCCGTAGCACTCCACCAGCGAGTTGCTCCACAGCTTCGCGACGATGGCGCGTATCTTGGAGATCATCAGCTCCTGGTAGACCCGTCTGTTGTGTGTGTTGTGTGTGTGTGTGTGTGTGTGTAGCGATGTGTGTGTGTGTGTGTGTGTGTGTGTGTGGCGATGTGTGTGTGTGTGTAGCGATGCGAGTGTGTGTAGCGATGTGTGAGTGAGCTGAGACCAGCGAACCAAAGCACCAAGCGAGAGAGGGGACTGAGACTGACCTGACGCTGGTGAGGGAGACGATGTGGTCCACGTAGTCCTCGATTTCCTTGTGCAGGAAGACGACCCGCTCCACGTCTGACAGCGACTGGGTGAGCAGGTGGCTCACGCGCGAGTACCGCATGGCCTGCTGTTGCACCGATGGGGCTGCGCGCTGCGGGCCGTGCGGTGATGGTCTGTGTGTGCGTGCACGTTGCGGGTGAGATGAGAAAAGCGAGTGGGGCAACGGGGAGCTGAAGCGTACCTTCCATTGAAGAGCGGTAACGGCGGCACACCCGCGCCCCGCCACTGCTTGGATCGCGCGCCAATACGCTCCCCCTTGCCCCGTTCTCGCTCCCTGAGTCGAGCGGTCAGTCCGTGTCGGCGACTGTTCGCTGAATGGAGCTCGACGAGCGGGGGGGGGTGCACGTACCTCCGTTCGCTCTCCTCTTGAATGATCTGCCAGAGCCGCGGGCGGTTGTAGTTGTAGCCGTACCGATTGACGGTGTGGTAGTTGTTCTCCCCGCTCCCGCCGTTCTCGCGCATGTAGTGATGCGGGAACTGCTGGTAGGTGTTCCTCCTCTGAGAAATCAGGTGGTCGGCCAGCTGCAGCTCCGGCAGCGACTCGACCACCTTCCGCTTCTGGCCCTGCTTGTCCAGCTGAATCAAACTGTCCGTCGTCTTGTAGTGCCGGTAGGGCTGTGGCCGGTGGGTAATTTGTGGGTTGGGCGCGGCCGCGAGCGGTGTAGTGACCGTTGTAACCTCTTTCGTCGGCGGTTGAGATCGTGCCCTGTGTGTGTGGGTGTGTGTCAGCTCGAATGAACACTGCTCGTTCTCGCTCGCGGGTGGATGGGCGGTTACCGAGCTCGGGTTCGTCGCTGGATGACGTCGGGCGAGGAGGGCGGAGAGAGCGACGACAGCGGCAATAGGGAGTTGATCATGGGCGAGGGCGGAGTGGAGTGCGACGAGGGCGAGGGCGGAGACGAGTTGGTCATCCGCCCGGCGTGGATGTTGAGGTTGGTGAACGGCATCGGGATGGGCCGGATCCTGGCTCGACCCGCCGCGCTCCCGCTCTGCTGCTGCAGCTGGAGCTGGAGCTGCTTGGTCGCCTCGTTGACCAACTGCTCTTCCTCCTCCGTGGGCGACTCGTCGCCTTCATCGTCGTCGAACTCACCTTCCTCCTCCACCTGCTCGTCCTCCTCCACGTCGTCGTAGATCCGCTCCTTGCCCTTGCTATCCACAGCAGCGCGCTTCTCCTCATCAGTTCGCTCCTCCTTGCTGCTGATCTGCGGCCATGCCGCCGGTGACGATGACGGCTGCACCACGCCGGCGGGCTGAGGCGCGCTGCTGGTGCTGGTGGTGACGCTGACGCTTACGCTCACAGCCGGCATACTTCCGCTGCCGCTGCCGCCGCTCTCCTTGCGGTTGACGACCTCGCTGTAGGTCATCACCTTATTGGGGTCTTTGGCGACGGCCGAAGAGGAGCCGGTGGTGGCGATTACGGCGGGCTTCGTAGGCGTAGTCGTCGTCTCGACCGTTTCCTTCCTCTCGGGTCCCTCGCGCTCCTTCTGTACAGCAAAAACGGGCCTCTCTCGCCCCTTCCCCTTCTCCTCGGTCAGGCCCTTGACGATGGCCGAGAACGAGGGCGCGCTCCGGTTCAGTATGCCGCTCACCTTCTCGCGGAAGAGCGCGGCCGGCGCGCTCCGCTTGACCTCGTGCGGAAGCGATTTGCTGGTGCTCTTGCGCGTCGTTCGCACCGCCCCCCGAGAGGTCGGGCTCTCATCGGGCGCGCTGGCGGAAGTCGTCGTCGCTGCGCTGGCGGTCGGCGTGGTGGGCTTCTTCGCCGGCGAGGCGGCGGACTTGTCCACCTCCTTCCGGCTGCAGCATTCCTGGCTCTTGCTCCGCTTGATGACCGCTTTCCGTCGTCGCCCGCGGCCTCGACCCTTGCCGCCCTCCTTGTCGGCCTCCACCTCGTTCTCGCTGTGCGTCTCGCTCTCGGCCTCGGCCTCCTCGCTCGTGGCCACCTTCTGTCGGTTCCTGTTGCGCTTCCGGCGCGAGGACACGACCGTGAACGTCGAGTAGTACTCGTCGTCGCTCTTGATGTCGTAGTAGGTGTCCGAGCTCGACCGCACGTGGCCGGCGATCACCGCCGCGTTCAAGCTGAGATCGCCCGGCAAGTAGGCAAGCAGAGACTCCCCGGACGAATGCCACGACCCAATCTCGCTCCCTGGAGAGATATGAGTCAGACAACGGACAAGCACATAGGAGTTTAACTTCTTCTTGGCAGTCAGTCGAGCGGGAATGCAGCTTACCGTGATAGAGCGGCGACGCGAGGTCTTCGACGGAACCGCTTTCCTCGTCGGTGGAGTAGTAACTCTCTGATGTGTAGCTCAGCTCGTCATCGTCGGTCGTGCAGTAGCTGTTGCTGTTGCTCGCGTAGCTGCTGCTGACGCCGCTCGAGGGCTGGTGGTCCGGGATGTGCGCCGGGGAGCTGTAGCGTCGCTTCATGACTGTCGTGTCGTCGTTGCCGAGGCTGGAGCGCAGTGCCACGCGTCGTACGGGTATGAGCTCAGCCGCCTCGGTCACCGCTACCTCCATAACCGCATCAAGGCTCCTTCCGAGCTCGGCCGACTTGCCCCTGTGCAGCGTGTCGCTGAACTTCAGCGACTTCTTCGGTCCGCCTTCCGCAGTGCCGGCTCCATCGTCCTTCGCCTCGGCTTGACCCTGGCCCAGCGAAGCACCTTCGCTCTCCGGCGGTCGCTCCGGCCGCTGCAGGATGGCACTTCGCGATCGGCCCTTGGATTTCTTCTTCTTTCGCTTCTTCGGCGTCGCAGCGTGGGGGGCACTGTGCCCCAGCGAAGATGATGACGTTGATGAAGAAGACGAAGAAGACGACGAGGATGATGACGAGGACGTTGATGATGAGGAAGAAGAAGAAGAGGACAGTGAGGATGTCGATGAAGAGGAAGATGATGTCGAAGAGGAACTCGAGGAGATAGCCGATTGGTCAGTAAGTTTGCTCTCCGTGGCCGCAAGGGACTTCTCATTCTGTCGGCGTGCCAAATAGCCACGTGTGAGTCACACTGTCTTGAGGTGTGGGAAAGCGGGAGAGCGAACCAGGAAGGCCTCAACTCGATCGAGCAGGTACGACCGTACAAGCGCGGTCGCATATCTCTGCAGAATCATTTGTAAGTAAAAACTGCAAACGTGTGTGAAGAAATGCGCCTGGAGAGGAAGACGCGTACTTGTACATCCTTGCTCTTCTTGATCCTGTCCTGTTTCTGCTTTTCGGCAGTCTCCCGCTGTCGCTTCTGATTACCTTGATCCGGCTGCTTCCTCGCTTTGCCACCACCGCCTCCACGGCCCGCCTTGGCGTTGGCCTTGGCGCTGGACTTCTGCTTGTTCTTCGACTTGCGCTTCCGCTTGTCGTTCTCCTCGCCTAGAATGAGGTCCATGGCTGTCACGTTACGAGCAGTGAGATCGGGCCGTGGAGGCGTCAGCTCAGCCGCATAAGCGACCGTGTGCATTGGTGAGCTCAACTCGGGTCGTACCAATCTTCTCGGTGTAGCCCGACTGGATGCATCGCCCGATTCGCCGCACGATGAGGTCCAACGGCTCAAAGGCGCGGTGCATGGGCGAGAAGTAGACGAACTCGATGAAGTGGGGTTCGTTGGACGGGTCGTTGCGAACCGTGGCGGAGAAGTGGTGGCTGCTGTTCGAGGGGTAGTCGAGGCAGTCCTGCATCTCCATGGCCTTATCGTCGAGGAAGGTAACGAGCAGGTCGAGCAGCGTCTTGAGTGGCTTCTGGTAGTCGAGCGCCTTGCCCTCCTTGCGCTTGTCCCCAATCAGCACCTCCTCGACAATGTTGCCCATTTTTCCAACGATGCGATGGCGCTCTATAAAGCACGAACAGCATCCCAGCCAAGTCGATGACGTGTGAGAACGAGCCCTTCGAAAACAAAGAGCGCAGAAGCGGGTGAGGAGCCCGAGTACCGTCAGCGGTGAGGCTGTTCCAGAAGCTGATGAGGTGCCGCTTGGAGTGCAGGCCCTGTGTGTTGGGCGAAAAATTGTACATTCGCTCGCGCGTGCCCTTGCCCTTGCCCAGCGGGCGCGTGGGGTTCTTGCGCGGGTCGAGATCGTGAGCTTGCCAGTAGCTCCTCCATATGGCCTGTCGAGAGTAAGGCATCAATGCAATCGTTCAGTGTTGTGGTCAGACATGCGGGATTCGGTCCATCGTGAGAGCAAGAGAGGCCTCGAGGGTGCATTACCTGCTCCAGCTTGTGAGCGACATAGGTGCCGAGAGTGTAGTAGCCCATGCTTTGGAACCAGGAGGGTGCGTCCCACACCCACTCACTGGCCTTCTCGTCCCAGGTGACCTTGCACGGGCTCGTGAGGAAGCCACCACGCGTGACCACCTCCATGGTGCCCAGGAACCTGAGTGTTCAGCAGAGTTGTGGTGTCAGATAGTGGTGCACACACATTCTCTTCATCTTCTGGGACGCCAGTGAGGCTGGTGTACTTGTCAGTGTCCTTCAGCAGGTCAGACGCGACCGTGAGTGTATCGCAGTACTCGCGAGTGTCGCACAGCCGGATGGCGTCCTCGAGCTTGTGGTCAACGCGCATCACCCTCTCGGGATGCCTGTGAAGAAGTCGTGAGGCTCTTCGAGCTTGATGAGGCGGCAGCCGAGACGTACCAGAAGTAATTGTCGAGGTTGGAGAACTTGGTGAAGCAGAAGTTCTCGCTTGGGGGCAGCATGGGATCGTTGTTACGTGCAAGAGCATTCAATTTACGCAAGGCCGGATCATCAACTGTACGATTGTGCGATGAGGTGAGATTTCTTGATCGAAATTGAAAAAGAACAATCGACGGAGGTTGGGCAGTAACCTGATAGGAAAAAGCCTTCGCCTTCAGTCGCCTTCTTTTTATACATTTGCTTGAGCAGGCAGGTGCCCTCGCGATCCTCCCAGAGTAGCACATTGCCTCTCTCTTCAAGCGACAGCTTGCTGAACCATTTCCATATCTCTGTTTTGGGCTTCTTGATGTGCCCTCCTTTTGCCGCCCCCTTCTTCGTCCCTCGGTTCATCTCCTCGTTTTTCTATAATAATCGAGAATGAGAGGACGTTCAGGTCGACCCGAGTCGAGCGAGGGGGCGGGACGTCAAAGCAAGTGGTGTTTAGTCGCTCTATCGACGAGGAAGGAGGTGGTGGTGGTAGCTGTGATGTCAGCTGAGTTCTCTCGTTTCTTTGATCATCGATTACAACGTTCTTCTGGCCACAACCCCTTTCCCTTCTTTTCTCTTCTTCCTGCAAATAAATTAAACGGTTACAATTAGCATGACCAGTACGTGCAGAATAAAAATTGTTGATTCACTCATACACTCTAAGGGTAATACTACTACGGTGGATAGAACAGTGCTGAAGATGACATCTTCAGCACTGTTCTATCCACCGTCTTCTTCTTCTTCGTCTTCTTCTCCGTCTTCTTTTGCAATCCTTGTGTGTGGTTTCGCCTGCTCGCGTCGTGTCTCCTCTGTGGCACGGCCGCTGTCACCTCACTGGGGAGAGGGCTCGGGCTTGGGCCACGACTCGTTGAACTTGTCGAGGGTCTTGGCCTGATCAAAGTTACCGATCGCTGCAACGATGACGATGAAGAGGAAGAAGGAATGAAAGAGATCATGGTCAGCTGACGATGACGCGGAAAAGAAGACAAGAACCAACAGCTGGATGGTTACCTTGCCGGATGGCCTCGGGGCCTTGGGCGAGAAGACCTCTCGGGATCTGCTGGCCAGGGGCGAGGGCCTTGAGCTGCAAGATCGTCTCCTGCTCCGACCTGTCATGCGTTCAACATGATGATGGAGAGAGGCCTCAAGTAAGCACGCATAACCATCATCATCCCGGTAATAAAAGTTCGCCGGGGTCACCTGAGCGTCTTCATCATCGTCAGCATCTTGGACGCGGCAAGGATCTTCCTCCTGATGGTCTCCTTGTGTGCGGCATCCAAGACCACCTCGGGAGCAGCGTCGGTCGGCTTCTCGGCAAGCCTGGAAGGAGATGGCATAGTGAATCAAGCGGTTGAGATATGAATGAAGTGAATCGTGGATACCTCTTCCTTTCAGCTTCTTCGTCCTCGTCATCGTCGACGACCTTGAGCATGGCCAACAAGCTTTCACCGACTGGATGCGATGGACAGATAAGCTACATTGAGGTGAAGGAACGGAAGAGGGAGTGGGAGTGGGAGAAAGTACCCTTCTCGGCCACGAAGGGGAGCGACCAGGTGAAAACGTTCATAAAGTTGGGCAACCAGTACGGGTGGGGCGAGTGGTTGAACTGGCGGATGTTCATCACCGTGTTTTCATACCGCATCACAGCACTGTGAAAAATAAACGCAAGATCAATGAAGCCGGAGGCAGAGATCAGTTGCCGTAGCGGTATTAGGCAAGAGGGAGCGCGAGATATTGTGTGGCTAGTTACCCCTTGTTGCCATAGGCATCGAGGTAGTTGGGCGCCGAGAACAGAGTGATGACAGTCGGGAACTGAGTCTCCGGGTGCTTGGCGTGCATCTTGTAACTGCACATCGATACCACTTCATGGTGAGCGACACTGGAGTCCCCAGTCAGGAGGCAAGACAGGCAGCAGCTTCATACCCATGGTCCTGAGCTTCGTGAGCGCGGATCATACAGAGAAGCCCGTTCCTGTCAAGGAAATCGACGACAGCCTTGAAACTAGTCGTAGTACACCCACCAAAATTAGCCCAAGTCCATGCAGATAGCAGTTCGTACAGGCACGTACCCGTAGGAGTAAGAGCACCCACGAGTTTCATTGTACTCAAACTCGGTGTGATCATGGGGACCATAGGACTCGATGGGGTCAGACCACAGAAGGTCGCTGAGTAGACGGATGATGAGACAGGGCAACAGACGTAAATTGGATATCAAGAAAGTGAAGCGGGGCGGTGGGGAGGCGTCTACCAGAGGGGACCACTCTGCGGGGGTTCCCTGAAGCGGTCGATAGACTTGACGTCCTCCAGCTGGATTGTAAGGAGTCGGGTCGTTAGACGGTCAACAAGGAGAAAAGAACTGGGGTGTGCCCAAGAAGCATACGGTGGTGATGCTGGGCGAAAGACCACCGTGCACGCAGAAGAACTGGCCGTTCATGATGGCCGCCAAAGGCAGGGCATCGAAGGAGTCCATGCACAAGTCGTATAGAGCAGTGTCGTACTTGTGCAGGCCTGCGCACAACGATACGTTTGAGGACGTCTTCATTGAGACTGCGATAGCAGCACAAGGGGCGTACACTCTTCCTTAAAGGTGAAGTAGGCGGTGAGGTGGCGACACTCATGGTTGCCGCGAAGCATCCAGAAGGTGTTAGGGTAGTTGATCTTGAGAGCAAACATGTAAAGAAGGACCTCAACCGAGAAGGAGCCTGGAACAGAAGGGATTAATGCAACGAAGAGGAAAAATTGATGGAGCTGGATCTGATGGGTACCTCGATCGACGTAGTCGCCGAGGAAGAGGTACTGCGTGGTCTTGGGGTCGCCCCCCACCTCGAACAACTTCATCAAATCGTAGAATTGGCCATGAACGTCACCACACACTGTAGAAAGACCAGCAAATGGTTGGCATTACAATCATCTTGAAAAGCACTATCGAAGCGGATCTTTCGTGCGCACCTGTAACCGGCTGGGGTACGTCAAGAAGGTTGGGTTCCTTCTTGAAGACCTGCGTGGCGGTGGAAACCAAGCGAGCAGCATCAGCTTTCGACAATCGGCCCTCGCCCACGAGATGGGTCTTCAGCTTCTCGAGATCGATCGGGCCATCCTCGGGCCAAAAGTCTTCCAGATACCCACCCACCGGCGGAGGAACGTCCTTCACCACCCGTTCCTTGGTGTCGTGCTTGGGCTTCAGATCCATCGTCTCAATCGCTTGCGTGTGGATGGGCGGCTACAAAAAAAGATCTTAGGCACCGCAAACACGCCCGCATAGACCAGGAAATTTCCCGGCAGCTAAATATTAATCCTCGAATCGCATCATGTTGATGATCCGCGGTAACCGGTCCGGGCAAGGGACAGACAGCCCACATCACTTGATGCGCTTCGTCTTCCTTTCATGAAGCCACAACTTGACCAGATGATGCGAGATCGTGAGTGGCGGTGGCAAGTGCAACTCACCCTCCGGCGCCCCTTCCTGCGCGGATCCCGATCGTGAGCTGACCGGGCAAGGCCAAGAAGGAGAGTGCGAGGAGGTACCTGAGTGCTCCTGGCGAGCATGGCGGCGACCTCCTTCACGTCGAACCAGCGCGCTTCGTCGAGCTCGTGGTAGTCGACGCTCACCTTCTGCCGCTGGATCTCGGCCTCGTGCATCGTAGCGACGCAGCCGATCATCAGCGACGCGGGGAAGGGCCACGGCTGCGACAGCTTGTAGGCCACCTTATCGTAGTCCAACAGCAGTCCAGCTTCCTCGTACACCTCGCGCAACACAGCTGCAGTGATACCAGTCACTCAGTCAGTCTTTTTTGCTTCGAGGGGGCCGAACAACTGCGTACCGGCTTCAATGGTCTCTCCCGGCTCCATGAAGCCCGCCAGGAGGCTGAACCTGTGGTGTTTCAGTTTATGGCATGGTCAGAAGAGAGGCTCACGCATGGCTGTGTCGGGGGGAAGGCGGTGGATACCTGCCAGCAGGCCAGCTGGACTTTCGGCCCAGAAGGCATTTGTCCCTGTTCGAAGACACCACCATCGTAATGATGCACGGGTCCGTGCGTGGATAGTGGTCCATTCCACAACTGCAAAAAATCACCACACGGTAAACATGTGCGCGCACGATTGTGAGTGCCACTTCTTCGATTCAAACGAATACCGCGTACCTGGCGTTTTTATCATCATTACACTTTCGTACATAGCCAGCCTCGACGGACTTGGTGGTCGATCCGCATGCCGCGCAGAACCCGTTCTTCTTGTGCCAATGCAGGAGCGAGCGGGCCTATCGTTTTGTTTAAGAGAGTGTTTAGATATGCGCGAATCTGAGAGAGAGAGAGAGAGAGAGAAAGCAGGTGGCGTAGTACCTGAGCGACCACACCGCCCTCCCACGGGGGCAAGTGCGGCACAATCGCCCGCGGTTCCTCGAACGTGGTCCGAACCTGGTAGTCGGTCAAGTTGCAACGCAAGTTAAATAAATACGGGGGAATGGGGCGAGGCCGCAAGTTGGCACAGCAACAGATGATGGCACGATACCTCGAGGTGCGTTTGGTGGGCGGCTGCGTAGCGCTGGGCTTCCTGTTCGTCGTCACCCACGATGGGGTCGAGGTCGAACGCGAATACGTTGATCTGGTTGCTCTCATCGCTCAGCTGCTCCTGGATCGACCGGTCGGAATTGGTCTCGCGCAGGGATTGGCCCAGGAGGAGAACCGTGGACTTGGCGTCGGTGATGGCCGGCAGAACCTGAAGGCCACACACCGAAGCGAGGCGATCAGACTACGAACGAAAAACAGAACATAAAAGGAGGACCGAGTGTGAATCCGTGAGTCGTTCGGTATATGCACCTCTCCCCGTTCTTGCCAAGCTAGAATGGGGCCGAGATGCGTCGGTGGCGTGCGATGCTCCACCATGGGCCGCAGCTTATGGAATGCCAGGAATCGCGAATTGGGGCTCTGAGGCGAGGCGCCGACATTGCACCGGGGTGAGCTCAGGAGTCAGGCGATGAATGGAGTAGAGGGGAGGGAGAGAGGGACCTCGTGCAGGGCATAGCGGAGCCATTCGTCATCACGGCGGAGGTGGTGCGCATGGAACCGATTGAGTCCGTTGATGGCGAAGCCCACGATCTCGTCGTGGTGGTGATGGCGGTTCTGCACGTCCGCGCCGGCATCGGCGTTGGGCTCCTCGCCGTCGCTTTCGTAGTCCGAGTCGTTGGGATCGGGGTCCTCCGTCCCGTCCACCCGCAGGCCCGACCAACGCTGCCACAGGGCAGCTGCCACGCCGGCGACGCGTCAACGGTGAAGAGGAAAAAGAGGAAAGAACGAAGCTGCCAGGCCTGAGGGTGGTACCAGTGGGCTGGAAGGAGATGGAGCTGGTGCTGAAGTGTGACCTGCCGCCGCGCCCCGAGTACAAGGACAGCCGCGCTAGAGTAGAGATTATATTTTAAAAAATGTTTTTTGTGATTAAATAATAGAATGCCAAAATAAATCAAAATAATCGCAGCTCTTGTGTGGGGTGTTTGAGGCAGTTTAAAAACTGGGGTAAAGGAGGTACCTCGACCTCGTGCAAGCATGCCGCCAACCTGATTCAGCGCAAGATTGTTTATTATTGACCGATTTCAATTATTGTTGGCTATTTTTGCGAATAGTTTAAATAGTTTCAAGAAAGAAGATCGGCAGATCATCAGCAAACTCTCATCGATTAGACACGTGGCGCGTGGAACCACAAACGGCCTTTGAATCCGTGTAGAACAGACGCAACTGCACAAGATGGACCTGTTCATGCGTTACGAGACAGACTTCCTTGAGATTACGAACAGCGTAACTGATCGAATTGAACGAATTCCTTCGCTATCCGGCAGTGCGTCCCCCCCCCCCAAATCTAGTGTTGGTGTGCCTTGCGCTCACGTTCGCCAATTTCAAAAGATGAGAAACGAGGTGAGATTGAGGAAGCCGAAAATGAAGTGCAAGACGCCGAGTCCACGGTACGTTGTTTGTTGCTCACTCACTCTTCTTTGCCTGTTCCTCCTCTTGCAGCTGGCCAAGCCAGCAGCTTCCTTCCTCTCCATGCACTTGTCGCACCTGATGGCGGCCGTGAAGAACCACCTCGCTCTCTGACATGGTGTTGTCCCAAACGTATTGCTGCAGCTTCAATCGATGGGGATGCACGCGCGCAGTTTGCCGACTGCCGACAAGGATCGATCGTTGGCCTCCTTGCGGCGCCACCAGCAGGAGCTGCAGGCGCTCAAGAAGAAGCTGAAACAAGCCGAAATCGCCTTCACCGTACGCCCTTTTGTTCTTGAACTCAACTCTCTGGTGTCCTGGTATGACTGACTGACCACCAACTCTTCATGGTTCATGATGTGATGATGTGATGATGTGATGATGTGATCGTCATCTGCGCGCGCAGACGAGCAGCAACAGAGACAGTCTATTCAACAATGGGGCCGTGGAGCTGCAGGTGACGTCGATGGACCATCGAGAGCGATTGATCAAGGTGGTGCAGAAGAATGAGGAGAACAAAGACCGGCTCATCGCCTCGCGACAAACACTCGAACACGTACGTCGTTCCCTCACTTGCTTGGCACCTGCGCTGGTGTGACAGACACTGATGAAGGACCATCACCATCACCATCACCATCACCATCACCATCACCATCACCATCACCATCACCATCACCATCACCATCACCATCACCATCACCATCACCATCACCATCACCATCACCATCACCATCACCATCACCATCACCATCACCATCACCATCACCATCACCATCACCATCACCATCACCATCACCATCACCATCACCATCACCATGCAACAGACAATAGACATAGCCGACGACGTGCTGGAGGAGTTGGCCGACCAGCGAACGCGCATCGAAATGATGCGAGAAAAGCTGCGAGGGCTCAACGCCAAGCTGGACGAGGCGGGTCTCATCATCGGCCGAATGACACGGAGGATCATCGCCAACAAGTTCTTCCTCCTTCTCATGATCATCGTTCTCATCCTCGTCGCCGGCGCCATCTTCTACATCAAGTTCTTCTAGAACTCCCCTCTCCTACTCCTTCCCCTTCTCTAAGTCCTCTCCTTCCGGCCCGGCGACACACCGCACACCACACGCCCGAACTCGCCGACTGCCGCACACTGAGCGTACCACCCGAAAATTCGCTGGCGCGGTCCATTTCGCTACCAAAAACCCAAACAAATCAAAACATCGATCAAACACTACAACCAACTCGAAGAACATGTCGTCCACCACCGTACGCCCTCTCACAGCCCCGTGCACAGTCTAGCCTTTTGTGGGCAACCAACCGCTTTAATTTGATTTGATTCAATTACACAGTACGAATTCCAAGTTGCGATGACCTGCGAGGGCTGTGCCAAGGCTGTGCGCACGCTCGTCGGCAAGGTTCCCGGTGCGCACTTCACCTTCAATTGCGTTGGGGGGGGCGAGTGAGGCTAACTCTTGTTTGCTCAGGCGTGGAGGAGGTGAACATTGATGTGGCCAAGAAGCAGGTGCTGGTGAAGGGCACCGCTTCTAGCGATGCTCTTCTTGCTGCCATCAAGAAGACGGGCAAGGAGACCACCCTCGTGTCCTCCTAGTGCCCTTTGTAATCTGTTCTTGCTCTTTTTTTATCAATTAAATTTAAATTGCACTGACGATTCGCTCTTCTTCGCCAGATTGGATTGGATGCACAGGATTAGTCGAATATCAATATTTCCACATTCTAGAACCAGTCTGGAACACTACTTTTTGCATGCACTGAAAACCCAAGACAACCCAACACCACCAACCAACACCTGCTGGTGTCAGCCATTCGGAAGAAGGTGATGATGCACCAGAGGCTAGCGGTGGGCAAGACCGTGCGCGTGGGCGACCTGGCCCGTGTGTGGGACGGCAAGCGATGGCTCGACGGGCGCGTACGCAGCGTGGGCCACGCCACAACGCCAGGCGGGTGCGAGGTCGAGATAAAGTACGCCGAGTGCGGCTGCGTGGGCATCCAGCGCGGCCAGTGCCGACACCGGTTTATCGAGAGCGACTGCGGCCGCCTGTGGGTGCGCGACTGCCCGGCCCTCAGGCGCCAACGGCACCACCATCAGCAGCAAGCAGCCGCGGCCCACGAAACGGCGTCATCAGCTCGTGTGTCATCCACTTCCACATCGACAACACCGGCCTGGCCGACGGCCAAGTTTCACCAACACCTGAAGCGGAAGCAGAAGAGAGAGGATGAAGATGACGAAGAGAGGCGCGCGAGCAATCTGCCGATACGGTGGAGGAATGCGTCGGATGAACGTGGCGGCTGCGTTATCAAGAAGCGAAACAGCAAAGTGCAGCTGGGGCGCGGGCTGCCCGAGTGGAGACTGAACGGCAACGAGCGCCATCGCGATCTGCAGCACTGCCAACCCGAGTTGGCCACCAACCACACACTCGCCTTCTACCAATCGGCCAGTAGTGAGCCGAGCCGCAACAACCACACCATCACCACCGACACACCACTCTCGCCCACGCCCACGCTGAAGCCGACCGACGACGACGCAGAGGCAGACGACGACGTCTGTGGCGGCCAAGCCGACAATCAACCGCGGGGCAACGTCGTCGATGCGCAGGACCGAAACCAGAATCAATGGCTCGGGCCAAGACAAGAGGCTGCCGGGCGTCGACAACAGGAGAGCGTGGACGGCCGTGAGCGAACGAAGCAGTGCAAGAACCGGAGGAGGAAGGAGCTGAGGCGACAGATGATGAAGGAGACGAAGGAGGAGAGAGCATCGATCAGCGCCGCGACGGCGGTGGAGAGCGGATCGCGGGTGGTGTCCCTCGCGGCCTACGAGTGGGTGCGCATCGAGTCGCGCGGCGTGCTCTGGGTCGAGGAGGGACCCGCCCGGCTGGTCCTCCGCCCCGGCGAACGAATCACCAGCGGACCCCATCA